TCTGCGGAAGAAGGAGGCATCCTCTCCGCATCCCCAACACCGCGCGCTCTCTTTCCGCATGTATGCGTGTCTTTTGCTCCGCGTGAAAGGTTCTTACACGAGTGATTCGCGCAAATCATACGGCTGTTTGTGTGTGTGTTCAAAAGACTATTGTGGTTTGTATCTGTTCGAGAAGAACGGGAGATAACATAATGGGTTGGAGGGGGCTCTGCAACGTAAAACGATTTTATATATAAAAAAGAGAATTTGGGGGAGGCGGCTGCCTTTTCTTCAACGCGCTAAAATAAATCTTGATTTTTGTGTTGTACTCCCGAGAAAGCGAGCCATTCCAAACATTCCCGCGCCTCCGTCTGCTGCACGTGTGCATGCTGGAGGCAGAGTCCGCCTCACCCGTCCGCTTCAAACCCCCCCCCCCCCCCCNNCTGCGGGTGCTTTTATTGCTGGTCTTTTTTGTGAATGAATTGCTTGTCGTCTTTGTGAGCGCGATTTGACTAGATGTTGCCCCTGGGTGAGAAATGCCGCGTTGTGGGTGTCCCGATGGCGGGCGCGCTTGTGTTCTCCGTGTTAGGAGACCTCCTAATTCCAAACGAGCCCTCTTGGGAAGAGGAGAAAGTGGCTGTGTGGATGCATCGCCTCCTGGTGTGCTGGAGCGGATGTGACCAGACTGTCAAGAGGCCGAGCGGGAGCGGCTTCTCCGTTACAGGGGTGACCTTTGCCGGGAAGAAAGGTCTCCTCTCGCGGCCGAAGGGCTGCTTTTCCTTGGGCTCTGTTTGCTCCTTTCTGGAAATCGGGGATCTTTCCTGTCCTCGTCCCCGGCCAGCCACATCACAGACACGTGTTCAGCGCAGTGGTCTGTTAGCAAGGAATTTGGAGACTTGTGGCTGTTGTTGAAGGAAGATCTGTAGCCTAGGAAATCTGTCCCCCCCCCCTTTTTTTTCAGGGCTTGGGGATTTAAATTTCTCTAGTACGGGCCTCTAAAACGAGATCGTTTCACGTAAGTCCGAATTAGCTGCTGTTTAACGATTCCCTGTACTATCCAGGGTGTAAAACCAGGTGGATTTCCCCACGTATCCCTTTGTGGCCTCTTAAACGTGTACACGCCGTCGCGTGGGGACCCTCTCCCTTTTTTCTGGGGCGGGTCAGGCCGACGGGGCGACCCTGATGTTGTTCCCGGGAGCGAGAAGAGGCCCGCTCGCCTAAAAACAAGGCGGTCTGGAAAAGTACACCTTCTGAAAGAGGTAAACTGGAGCATCCCTTCAAGGGGGGGGAACCTTTTTTGGGGCGGGTGGAGGAGAGCCAAGAGCCCAAGGCAAACGGCGGAGGGCGCATAAAGAGGCGATTGTAGGCGGCGTACGCAGGATCCGTGTGTGCGGGCGTGTGTGTGTCCACTAGGACACGCGCGCGCGGTCCCGAACACGCCGCCCTGGAAGGCAGCCCCGCGGTGTGCGGCTGTGAGCGCGCGTGCACGGGCGCGCTTGCTAGCTTGCTTGCTTGCTTGCTTGCTTGCTTGCTGGCGGCCCGAGGCCCTCCTCGTTTTTCATAGGGACTAGTCAAATAAGAGTCTGAACGACATCCTTGCAAATATTGACAGTGGCCCCGGCTGGATTTCTCTGGTTACTGGGACGCGCTCGGTGCCAGCGAGACGTCGCAACAAGGCGAACGGGAGAGAGATGCATTTTTTGGGGGGTGGGACGGGTTGGGGGGGCGAGCAGGCCAAGGAGGTTTCCCGGAAGGGGGGAAGGGGTCAGATCTGGTTTATCCCCGCGCAGTGGCCCAAGGCGGAGCCCGGGAGAATGGATCGGTACCGTCGCGGAGA